GTGGGCGTCTTGGGGGCCTCTTGGCCCGTCTTCGGGCCGTCGTGGGAGCCTCTTGGGCCGTCATGGGGCCATCTTGGAGGCCTCGTGGGCGATCTTGGGGGCCTCTTGGGCCGTCTTGGGCCGTCGGACAGCGAAAAGGCGCAAATTCCAAAATCCTCCAAAAACCTAAGGAAAATCAATGATTTCGCCCTCTTCGGGCCTTCCTGGAGGACCTCTTGGAAGCCTCTTGGGCCGTCTTGGAGGCCTCTTGCGGGCCCTTTGGGCCGTCTTAGACCATCTTGAGGCCATCTTGGGCCGTCTTGGATGCATATTGGGGCCATCTTAGCCGTCTTGGAGGCCATCTGGGCTGTCTAGGAGGCATCTTGGAGGCCATCCTGGGCCATCTTGGCCGTCTTGGGACCATCTTGGGTCATCTTGGGGCGGAACAGGCATTGACTTGTGCAGTTTCCGGGTGGCCGGCGGGACGCGCCGGAGCCCCAGGGGGAGTTCTTTCGGAAAAAGAACCAAAACCAAAAGCCATATCGTCCGGCACGCCAGGCACCCCTTTGATAAATCAAAAGGGGGCGGCGGACCCAGCTGCATGCGGCAAGTTCCGCCACTGTGCCAGCCCAGCATTCTGGGTGGCGACTGTGGGCACGGGAGGCCGTCACGTGAGACACCAAGTGTCCCTGGTCCCCAGGCATTCGGGAGCTGATGATCATGATGATGTTGATGTTGTTGATGATGATGATGATGATGATGATGATGATGATGACGATGATGATGATGACGATGCTGCTGCTGCTGATGATGATGATAATGATGAAGATGACCCAGATGATGACAATGCTGATTATGATGATGATAGTGATGATGCTGATGATGAGGATGATGATGGTGATGATGACGATGAAGGTGATGGTGATGGTGATGCTGGTGATGATGGTGATGATGCAGATGATCGGTATGATGTTGCTACTGTTGCTGCTGCTGCTGATGATGATGATGATTATGATGATGATGATGGTGATGATGATGATGATTATGATGATGATGATTGTGGTGGTGGTGGTTGTGATGATGACGACAGTGATTATGCTGATGATCATAATGATGATGTTGGTGATGATGATGCGGAGGATGATGAGGGTGGTGGTGGTGGTGGTGGTGGTGGCGAGGTGATGATGGGGAGGGGTGGCCCGAGGAAGATGAGGGACATGATGAGGATGGCGGGGATGATGTGAAGGAGGAGGATCAGGAAGAGGAGGAAGAGGACTAGTGTAAACCAAATAATCATCATCGATGTCGGAGTAAACCCTCCCTCCAAGCTTCCTCTGAATAGGCCCCTACAACGATTCATTTCCACTGAGGGAATTGTTTCATTGGAGGACCGTCGTTTGAATATTCTGAAGCATGCCAAAACTTGTTTCTCGGGGTTCCAACGCCACGGATGGACTTGATTGTGACGTTTTGACGATCCTGAATCGTGTCAGAACGCTATTCTTGGGACGTCAGCACCGCGAATCAACGGAACCGTTTCGCCCTCATAATCCTGAATATTTTCCACATATTGTTTTTGGTACGTTGATAATGGGAATCCGTGAAACTCTTGCGCATGTTTAAACTGAATGTGCGCGGCGCTAAAACGAGAGCCACGTTTTGAACAGGAACCGCCTTCAATCCGTGAAGCTCTTGCGAAATGTTATAACGAATGTGCGCGGCGGTAAGGCGAGAGCCATGTTTTGACAACGGCCCGCCCTCAATCCGTGACGCTCTTGCAGAGAACGAATGTGCGCGGCGGTAGGGCGAGAGCCACATTTTGAAAACGACCCGCCTTCAATCCGTGAAACTCTTGCAAATGTTTAAAACGAATGCGCGCGGCGCCAAGGCGAGAGCCACATTGTGAAAACCATCCGCCTTCCCCTTCTGTTACATTGTTACCCATGTTCAAGCTTCAGGGTCATGCCTGGTGAGGAAGTCTCAGGCGAAACGCCCTGCCCTCCCTGAAAACTGGCCACGGGGTGTGACAGGCAGAAGTTATGTATAAGGAAAAGGAATGGAGGAGGAGGAGCGCGAGGAAGAGGAAGGTCGTCATATGTGGCACGTTTCGTTTTCACTAGTTGAGGAGCCCTCATGGAACTGGTTTGGGCCGTCGTGTGGCTGTCTTGACCTCCTGTGAGGCAGCCCTGGGGTCCCTCTTGGGCCGTTTTGGGGCCCTCTTGGGCCTTTCTCGGGGCCGTCTTGGGCAGTCTTGGGCGCCTCTTGGGTCTTGAGCAGTGTTGGAGCCCTCTTGGGCCGTCTTGGGGCCCTCCTGGGGGCCTCTTCGGACGTCTGGGGTTCTCTTGGGGGCCTCTTGGGCCGTCTTAGGACGTCGGAAGCTTGAAAAGGCGAGACCCCCAAAACATTCAAAGAAAACCGTAAGGGGATCCTTGCTTTTTGCCTCTCGACCGGACAGCACTTGGCGTTCCAGCACGCCTCAGCGTGCCGGGGGGGGCACGGTGGCAGATCCTCCTCCTCTTTCTGCCAACGCATCCCCTGGCCCACACGTGCGCGCACATGCCTCGTGCCGTGATGTGCAGCCCCCTCATCCTGGCCCCTTTTTTTCGGCGCCCCTGATTCTTCTGGGTCGAGGCCCATCAGGCAGGCCCAGCGGAGCATAACGATTTCAAGTGGCCTTCGTGCCGATACGTCATCCAGACCAATCTGCTGACCTCGGGACTGGAATTCTGTCTGGGTGATAGGTGCGAGATGTCCGATGGGGAGCCCCCGCTCGAACGGGAGCCCAACCGGGCTCCATCAGGTTTGAACGTGTGTTGTTCTTTCGTCAACGCCTGTACGGATACCGCTGGAAGCAAATAATCAAGAAGCAATCTGGGAAAGCAATTTCTGCGACCACATGCAGTTCTGAAATGCATTCCGGCCTGCCCGCGCCGCCCTCCAGAGGCCCTCCAGCTGGCGGATCTGCTCGTCCTGCGTCCTGCGTCCTGCGTCCTGCGTCCTGCGTCCTGCGTCCCGCGTTGCTCTTCCACCAGGTACAATGCAGGATGATGATTAACAAACTACCGGGGGTCGTGTTCACGCGGCGGCGCCCGGAATGGTGATTATAAAAACCAGCGCGCCTGGACGGTCGACGGGCCAGACGGAGCCATAGCGAAGTGGAAGCCGAAGATTCGAATTTTATAATGTTAATAAGAATCTGTCCCCCCAATTTTGAAAAATGATCGTCATCCATTATCCCTCCAGAGCGTCGCGGAACGCTTTGGGGGCGATGCGGAAGCGCGCGCGAGGACGCCTGCGGCTACATTTCCCAGGCCTTCTCAAGAGGGACCGGAGCGGGTGTCGCTGGTGGGAAGCGTCCATATCCTGGCCTCGCGGGCTGCGCCCCTGGGCCGCGACCCCATGGGTCCACGGGTACCAGGAGCTTTTCGCGGATGCCCCGCGCGGAGCGTATCCATGCGACCGCATAGCCATGGGCACCGCGCCCCAGGATCCAGACCGCGAGGCACGGATATGCCTGCTGCCTGTGAAGATGAGGCCGAAGGGTCGCGCCGCATCGCCGATGCTTCGGCGATGCGGCGCCGATGCGGCGCGATCTGGAGCACCAGATCACAGGCGATACGACTAGTTCAGTCTGGACATCTGGACGTTGCTCCTCGAATTCGGGGCCCATACTCGGGCCCTGTGGCCATCAAAAATGGACCCTTGGCGGAAACCTCCGCGGGCTTTCTCATCCCATCACATGGGTCGGCGCTCCCGCGCCGCCGCTGGGCCCGCGGGAGACCAGGCATCGCCGGACTGGACCCGACTGAATTTCTCCACACGCCCGTCTGGCAGGAGCGTCGACCCAGCCCAAAACTCAAATCACACGGGTGGACGACGGTGGGTTTCACGCCCGCCCCAGGGCGCCGCAGCTTTGCCACGGGTCCCGCACGTCAGGGCGTCACACCCTGCAGAGGAGCTTCCCTCAGGGCCGTTGCGGCGCTGCCACGGGCCACGCGCGCCAGGGCGTTCCGTTCTGCAGAATAGCGGCGCCGCCCTGCGGGGCTGGGAACGAGCAGTGGCGACGAAGAGCACCAGCAGAGGGCCGCGCGAGCACGCCGCGAGAAGAAGTTAGCGGCGCGCCCAAGCAGCGCCAAGCCAACCAACCAACCAAACCGAGGGAGGAGGAGGAGGTGGAGGACCGCCTGCTGCGAGACAGCCCTCGGCTTGCGAGAACAACATCGTTTGCTGCAGAGCAGGCTGGCCGCCCATGCGGGGCTAAGCGCAAAAGCGACTGAGGGCAGGAAGTCATGAGGCCCAGAGACAGAGGCGCGCGCGAGTGCGCCCTGAAGATGTTCCTGCCCCCCGATTCGCTGCGCGATGTGGGGGGCGATGGGAACCTCAGTCGGGTAAGGGGTCGGGAGCGCGGGGGCAGCGCATTGAACATGAATGCGGCGCGGCCCCAAGGAGGGGGGAGTGTCTTATTTCACGTGCGCATTGCTAGGCGTTACTTGGCATCGCTTTGCGTTGCTTGGCGTTGCTTCAATTGCTTGTCGTTTCTTGGCGTATTGCTTGGTTTGATCTGCATCAGTTGTCGTTGCTTTGCGTTTTGCTGGGCGTTGCCAGGAATTGTTTGGCATTGCTTGGCGTTGCGCTGGTTGACGCAAGCAACACCGAGGGGCGCCGCTGCAGGGAGATCGAACCGAGGAGCCCAAGGAACGCCACTGTAAGGAAAACCGATCAGGGGACCCCGAGGAACCACGATGTAAGAACAAGGAACCCCGAGCAAGGCCAGTGCCGAGGAACTCCGAACAGCGCTGGCCAGCGCATCCTGCGCACCCGCCGGTTATTCACAAACGAATGATCCAGAACCGTTCGGGAAAGCCCATTCGTGGGAAGAGTTCGTGCTTGTGCCTCCTGCCGCCGCCGGGCCGTCGCGGATGCATCGCCGATGCAGCGGCGATGCGGCGGCGATCCCCCGACCCTATTTAGTTGTTCGGACCCACTTTGGGAGACCCCCGCTCATCCTCCCCGCGGATCAGTGCGCTGGTGCCGTCACCAGCGCTGGCATACAGGACTGCGGTCGCTCAAGAGAGCTTTGATGTGCGAAGGAAAAACGTGAGAGTGCGCGGCTGCATCATGGCGTGCTTTGCCCATCGGGGAGGGCTCTTCAACCCAAGCGCTTTCGGCGCTACATAAAAAAAAACATGTCGATGAGGCTGGAGGCAGGCAGGGTAGATGCAGAGTACAGTGCCAGGGCGAGGGGCCCTTAGGGATTCCGCGCGGAGTGCTGGGGCGAGTGTGGGGGGACGCCGCGTATCTTCAGGATGAGGACGACGAGGGGGATGCACTGCCTCCTCCTCCCTACCTCCTGAGACAGGAGGCATGTCGGTCGGTCGGGAAGCCCCCCCCCTCCCCGGTCGGTCACATGTTTGCCCAACATGCACACGTTTTGCTTTCTTTGCGAAGGCCGGGGAACGGTTTCGTGTGTTGACTCACCTCTTGCAGGCTGGCTATCGCTTGTCTCTGGGCCTTGCCAGGTGCACGTGGCTGAGAGCCAGCGGCATGCTCGGCCCCCCTCTTTTCGGGAATTGCCCTCCCCGCCTCAACCTTGTGCATCGTCGGCGGTGTTGCCTATTTTTGGTTGCCTGCGCAAAGCCTCCCCGCGACCTTCCGGGGACGAGCAAGCCCGAGGCTGAGGGGATTTTCCTTCGTATTCTAGCAAGATTTAGTTGCATGGCGGAGGGGGGGGGCGGGCGAGGCCAGAAAGGACTTCTTGACTTCATGCGCGTCGGAACTCACTTGGACGCCTTTTAGGCCCAGCGCTGTTTGAAGTAGCGGCGGAAGGGGGGTCGCCTCGCTAATTGGCGGGATCCTGTTCCGTCTTTCCCTCTGCCCTCTCCTCCTCCTCCTCCTCCTCCTCCTCCTCCTCCTCATTTTCCTCCTCCTCCTCTTCCTCCTTCTTTTCCTCCCTCTCCCCTGCTGCTGCTGTGTCTCGTAGTCGTCCGTCGTGCGCCTCTCTCTGGGGGGAGGGGGATGCCATGCAAGTAGACCTGCCAGAATCTAGACAACTAGCGGCCTCCTGGGCAGGGGGGGGCTCGGCCCGGGCGAGGCGGCGGTGCGGCCGCCCCCCCCCTTGTACGACAGGCCCAGGGCCTCGGCCACCTGCTCGGCGTGCTGTCGGTGGACACCGTGGACGCCTACCAGGGCATGGAGCGCGACTTGGTCCCCCCCCGTCATTCAACGTCTCTGTCGATTTCATCGATCCGATTCTCGAAGAAGAGAAACATGTATAAACATAGACTGTAGGAGTTCCACACGGATTTCTTGGATCGGCGCTGGGCCCCACCTGGCGGCGCCTCCGGCACCGCCCCCTGGCGCGCTCCGCGCGCCAGGGAGGGGTTTCCGACGCATGTGCATGAAATCTGCGTCGATCGTCGAAGGCTTATATGAATGCTGTTTTTCCTTCCTCTAGATTCGATGTCGGTTTTGGCTGGCCGATCCGATTCGATTCCGATGCGTCGACGATCTGATGCCGCCTGGTGCTTGCATGGCGCTGTTTTTGGCGCAGCCGATCCGATCCGATTTGGGCTCCCTGCCGATGCAGCCCGATGATTTCCCGATTTGATGCGTGCAGTAGTGCGCAACCGTTGCGGGGTGGCATGAACTGCTGCACGGGCAAGAACTCGAACACGTGAGCAACGATATAAACAACCGAATCCACCATGGCATCCAGCACGCACGCTATGTCGTCTGGGCGCAAGCTGTTGGAGTCACTGTTGCACCTCTCCCCACGGACCGACCTACGCCAGACCCACTACCCACTGGTCGTTGAAAGTCGGTATACTTGGATTCCCATACCCCAATATACTTCAAGCGCTCTCCTGCTTCAATGATCGAGTGGCTTCACCTTTTCCGTTATCCTTAGGGGGCTGACGGAACCCAATTTTTTTTCAACGCTTTCTTGCTTCATGTTTCTACCCACCTCATCCGACCGACGGGTATGCTGTTGGGAGGGTTGAAGGATGTAGGGCTTAGGGGGAACCGTTTGGAACCTTTTGGCCATGCCCGAGGGTCCGAGACTGCACCACAACACGAACGTCCCCCCAGGCCCCTTTTCGTCCGCCCGCGCGTTTATAAACTTTCGTGCGAAGCATGCGCGCCTCGCCCAAGTTGGAACTCAATTCTCTAGAACAATGAGCGCGGCGCCGAAGCGAAAGTGGCATTTGGACGTTTCGCGCGGGATGTGCACCCCGTCCCACTTTTGCCGCGCATCTCGCAACATGGGTGACATATTGTCCATGATGAGATCAACAACATTGGTTTTGTATTTTCTTTGAAAGGTTTCATGGGCCCCCGCAGATGTGGCCCCAATCGGCTGGTTTTGTGTACGAGATATGGAATAAGGATAGGAGGAGGGGGGGGGAGGGGGAGGAGGGGAGGGCGACTTCATCCTCCCCCGCGGGAGGGTGGAAAGCGACCTGGCCCTCCCCGGTGAGCGTCGTCGCCGTCGTCGTCCCCCTTTTCCCCTCTTCCCCTCGGCCCCCCTTCCCCTCCTCCCGTCGGTACTTTTCAGCGCCACCCGGAGCAACAGCGACCGCAGCTTGGGCTTCCTAGCAGACGCCCGGCGCATGAACGTCATGCTCACCCGCGCCAGGCCGCCCGCCGGGTGGCCCGGATGGAGAAACGAGGAAGTTCGTTCGCTCGCTCAGCGATGGAATGGGCCAGCGCCGTTCTCACCGCGTTTCCCCTCTTCCTGTACGAGGCAAGGATACTGAAAGAGAGGGAGAGAGAATGAGAGAGAGAGAGAAACAAAGGAAGAGAGAAGGAGAGAGAGAGAGAGAGAGAGGAAGAGAGAGAGAGAGACCACACACACACGCATACATATACATGTATATTAAATATACATGTATACATGTGTGTCTTCATGTCTGTGTGCGTGCATGTATGTAGGTAGGTAGGTGGTCGGTAGGTCGGTATGTACGCATGTATGTATGTATGTATGTATGTATGTATGTATGTATGTATGTATGTATGTATGTGTACAGAGAATCAGAGTTAGGGGCCGAACGGTCATTTACTGTCCCTGGGCGGCTGGCCGAAGTGAGGTTCTGCGGTGCGGATTGTTGCTGTTGTTGCTGCTGCTGCTGCTATTGTTTTCGTTGTTGTTGATGTTGTTGTTGTTGTTGTTGAATTTTTTGTTGTTTTTTGCCTGTTGTTTGTGGCCCGCGACCCGGCCCGCGACCCACCCGCGACCCACCCGTGATTCACCCGTGACCCACCCGCGACCCACCCGCGACCCATCTCGCGACCCGCTCGTGAGCAACCCGCGACCCACCCGCGATCCACCCGCGACCCACCCGCGACCCACCCGCGACCCTTTCGCGACCCACCCGCGACCCGGTCCGCGACCCACCCGCGACCCCCCCGCGTTTTGTTCGCGACCCAGCCCGCGACACACCCACATTGCTTTAACGAAGAAATCAGCGCCTGTCGCGAGCTCGTTGTATATGTATGTGTGCATGCATGCGTGCATGCATGCATGTATATGTGCATGCATGCACTGATAGATGTATATATGAGTGTGTATGTATGTATGTCCGTGTGTATGAATGTATGTATGCATATATGTATGTATGTATGTATGTCTGTCTGTTTGCCTGTCTGTCTGTCTCCCTGTAGGTGTGTATATATATGTATGTGCACATGTGTATGTATGTATGTATGCATGCGTGCGTGCGTGCGTATGCATACATGTATATACGTATGTATGCATGTATGGATATATGGTATGATCGATGGATGGATTGATGTATGTATGTATGTCTGTCTGTATGTATGTATGTATGTATATTTGCATACATATATACGTGTGTATACATGTATGTATGTGGGTATGGAAGTGTGCATGCATGTTTGTATGTACACATGTATGTATGCATGTCTGCCTGTATGTATGTATACATGGATGTATGTATACACGTGTGCATGTATACATGCACGCATGTATGCATGCATGTATGTATGTATGCATGTATGCATGTATGCATATGCATGCATGGATGTATGCATGTATGTATATTTATGTATATGGATGCATACAGGTCTGTATGTATGCATGCATGCTTGTAAGTATGTATGTACGTTCGCACATATGTATGCATGTATGTATGTATGTATGCATGTATGTATGTATGTAGGTAGGTATGCCTCTATGCAACTATGTTTGTATACATATATATATAGGTATGTGTTTATATAGACATGTATATGTACATATATATATATATGTAAATGTATATATACACACACATATATATATATATATATATATATATATATATAGGTATATGTATGTATACATCCAGCTGCCTGCGGCAATTCCCGCCACCATGCGTGGATGTTCGTTGGAATCTCGTGGGGCAACTCTCAAGGGCCTCATGGCGGCAGTTTTGAAGCCTCTTGGGGGCCGTTTGGGGGCCTGTTGGGCGCCTCTTGGGGGCCTTTTCGGGCCTCTTCGGGGCCACTTAGGGGCCTCTTGAGCGCCGCTTGGGCGCCTCTTGAGGCCTTTGGGGCCCCCCTGGGGCGGAAGGCTTCGTCCTCCCTCTTAGGGCCGTCGTGGGGCCCCCTTGGGCCGTCTTGGGCGCCTCTTGGGCCGTCTTGGGGCGCTCTTATGCCGTCTTGAGGCCCACTTGGGGGCCTCTTGGGCCGTTTTGGGATTCCTTCTCTTCTATGGCGAGTGGCTTGCGATACTGGCACGCGTTTGCATGGAAATCCTGAAGTGCCCCGTAGAGGACACACTACCTCCAGTCAGCGCGGCTCACGTCTTTATGTTTATTGCAGTTTTCGCAGCGCAGGCGCGGCGGCAAATTCTATTGGCCATGTTCGGTGGGCGTGCGTCACGTGGTCTCTGTCAACTGACTGGGGCCAGGCGGAGGTGCGCCAGGCGATTCAAGGCTTGGCCGAGCATTCGCTCCGAGTCCACGGGGGCACCTTCCCCCAGCGATGGTTGTTGACGCAAGAAGCAGTGGATCACATGTGTCGTGTTGCTGCGGAGCTTATCTCGGAGCCCCAATTGGTATTATCCTTCATATGCTGGGAGTTTTTGTTGATCGGAGGGCATCGAGTTGTAGGCGGGCGCGGCTGGAGACGTGCTGCAGCTCCCGCATGGCAGAC